AGTTTACCGTCACTGTCGCCCTCGATTGCGTGACCACCGTTACGAGTAATGACGTCACCAGCTATCATTTTCTCCCGTGAAATATCATCTTTTAACTGATAAGATGGCGAATCGATGCCTGATGGGAAGAGTCTAACAGGAGTCTTCGAGTGCCTCTCTTCCATGACCAAACAATCTGTACTTCTGTGCACGTGACCAGCGTTATGAATGATGACATCCTGACTGGACATGATTTCAAGCCGGTAGCAGCTGTCGTACTTTTGGAGACCGCTGTCTCTGTGATCGCTGACGCAGCTCATGTTAACGCAAGAGAGGTTTTTCGCCAGACGTGGTTTACGTCTCTTGGAGCGACGTATTTCTACCATTTCCCGATCGTTTCTGTTTTGTTTCTCCACCGTTTCATTCGCGAAACAGCACAAGTTGTTCTTCGTCGTTTTGCAGTCATTCTTTACTTTGACAGCGTTCGATGCACAGTTGCCAGAAGAACTTATTAGAATCAGTACTGTTTCAACATGGAGGACTTGCCAATCTGCTTCAAGTACCAACAATGTAACAATTCCCTGATCAGAATCATAACGTACGTTGTTGTAAAACAGATGAACAGGGCGGTGAAATGTCCTTTGTTCTAACTTGTAAACAAAAAAATACGTTACGTTAATATACTTCATAAGTGTAAGACCACGTCCACACTACGACAGAGAAATTTAAAAACGGCGTTTTCATTCTGAAAACGCATCAAATGTTTTCCGTCCACACTACGCCGGAGAAATTTGAAAACGCGACAATCACCGGTCATTTTGGAGTTGTGTGTGAGAAAAAGAAAAAAAAAAAACTGCATCAGGGAAGTCGCATAATTGTCGTGACGTCCTCGTTTTCGAAAAATATGAAGTTCCAGGCGACAGTAGACTGCCTTGATGTAAAGACAAAAACTAGCAAGGTACTAGCAAAAACGCTATTAGACCTGAAATGTTAGACTTCGTGTCAAGATGGGGGCCATATCAGACTAACACGGCCGATGTTTGACATCATTCTGTTTTTCACCCGTTAAAAAGATGGGATTCTACCACTGAGAGATGAAGTTTTACGTTACAATTTTATATCTTGATATTCCCACAAAAACTACCAAGTTACTACATAAAAAGTTATTACACCAGAAAATTTACACATCGTTTCAAGATGGCGGCCATATTAGATCGTCATCGCCGTTCATAGAATAATAAAAATATATTCCTCACCTGAGAGACTGGCCAAACTTTAAGAAATCTAGCATCATTTGGATCCTCAAATAGCACTGCCTGCATGACAGGTGTATTGCGTGACAAAGCGTTTGTAGGGAACGTGACTCGAACTTCAACTCTGAGAACCACACCTATGAAAAACGAAAGAAAGAGGTGAAGTCTGCATATGAGCCAATTGACCCGTCAGGCCGGAACGTATTCCAGTTTTTGTAGCCTCAAGAGACTAGGAATATTTCTACACCCGCTGGATGGGATGCTAGTCCGTCGCAGGGTTAACCCCAGCATTAAATTCGTCGGTGCTCATTTGTACACGTGAGTGGAGGGAGGCACTGTGAGAGTAAAGTGTCTTGCCCAAGAGCACAACACAAAGCCGCGCCAGCCAGGACTCGAACCCGGACCGCTCAATCGGGAGTTGAACGCATTAACCACGAGGCCACCATCGTGCCTCCAATGAAAAAAGAAAGGTCTCTGAAAACCTGGAAAATAGCTGCGTTTTCACATGAGAACAGTGCACACGTGTTGAAATAGTTTTACCTGGAGATAGTCCAGCCAAGCACTTGAGAACATTCCATGACAACTCACAGAGCTTGGTACAAGATCGCTTTTGAAACAGTCTGGCTGAAGGTAAACACTCCTCAACATAGCTCAGAGCCTGTCCAGCTACAAGCAGAGAACATAAAGCGGAGTAGAAAAAAGCAGTGTCAATGTCAATCTAGAAACATTTAGCTAGATAAAATCAAGGCTACTTGCGGATCATTGAAATGAAGTGTGCAAGTGTGTAAGCTAAGGTTTCAAATTTATTATTTCGTAATCTCTCGGAATCTTCCCACTCTTTGGATAGTTTTGTTTTATGACGTCCTCAGTCTGCAGTTTCTTCACAGTTCAGAAAATTATTATTTTAAGGTCGAGGTGTCTTTCTGGAGGAATCTTTTAGAAACTTCTACACTTTGATAAAAGCGACTTGGAAAAAGGAAACATTTTCCCAGAACTTATAAAAACAAGAGTGGGACTTTGCATATAGAACACACATAGACCAACAACTAGCAATGCTCTGAATGGAAACACGAGAGGTAGATATGGTAGATTATTGTCTCTGTGGCTTTCTCGAGTTTTTCAAAACTTTCCCGGGTATTTTAATAACATATAATAAGCTTATATAAAATGTTTCCCATTCCTCCAGAAATCAAATTCTTTGAAGAGTTCCTGTGACGCTATAGAATTGAAGAACGATTTAAAACGCAAGTTTTCTGTAGTCAAATGAAAACTGTAGCTGCCTCTTAATCTGGTTAANCTCAGAGCCTGTCCAGCTACAAGCAGAGAACATAAAGCGGAGTAGAAAAAAGCAGTGTCAATGTCAATCTTGAAACATTTAGCTAGATAAACTCAATGCTCAATGCTCAATGCTCAATGCGGATCAGTTTTACACTAAACATAAAGTGTGCAAGTGTGTAAGCTAAGGTTTCAAATTTATTGTTTCGTAATCTCTTGGAATCTTTCCTACTCTTTGGATAGTTTTGTTTTATAACGTCCTCAGTCTGCAGTTTCTTCGCAGTTCAGAAAATTATTATTTTGAGGTCAAGGTGTCTTTTTGGAGGAATCTTTTAGCAACTTCTGAACATTGATAAAAGCGACTTGGAAAAAGGAAACATTTTCCCAGAACTTATGAAAACAAGACTTGGACTTTGCATATAGAACACATACAGACCAACAACTAGCAATGCTCTGAATGGAAACACGAGAGGTAGATATGGTAGATTATTGTCTCTGTGGCTTTCTCGAGTTTTTCCAAACTTTCTCGGGTATTTTAATAACATAATAAGCTTATGTAAAATGTTTCCCATTCCTCAAGAAAACAAATTCTTTGAAGAGTTCCTGTGACGCTATAGAATTGAAGAACGATTTAAAACGCAAGTTTTCTGTAGTCAAATGAAAACTGTAGCTGCCTCTTAATCTGGTTAAAACTCTCTACTGTTGCTATGTTAACATCACCAACTTACCGTGTTCTTCAAAAGTCGCAGCCATTTGCAGAAACGCTAGAAAAAATGTCGTAGGGGAGGAGAGGGTCACGCCACTTAGCTGCAAACATCGCTTTTCAGGAGAAGGCAATCTGAAGCATCGGGCTGCCATGGACTTTAGAGCAGCTAAGACATCTGGTGAACGGGCTGGGAAGAAACGAAAGTAACTGGTAATAAACAGAACGCTTTGAATGTGTCTCAAATAACGCGCGGCTTACCCAAACTACAGAATATCAAGCTTTTCAACTGCCGTACATTATAGCACGGCCAACAGACAGTTGATGGAAACAGCCAATCGGAATGTTTTTTATTCTAGTGTAACATTTTCTAACCCATTGGACTGATAACAGATAAAGGTTTTTAGATTTTTCGCATACTGGTTTTGCTTAAACTGAAACAAAACTGTCGGCAGCAGAAAAAAAAAATTAGTATTCGACTAATCTATTTATTTTGATTACTTGTAATTTGAAACATGTACGTTTTTGTGACCCTGAAAAAGCTTTTACAAATTGATTTTCAAAGTCAAATTGATTTGAAATGTTTTAAGATTCGTTAATCTATAATAAAACTATAGTTGTCCGACGAAGTTCATCGGTAATCTATGTTTCATTTAGCAAGCTTTTTTGGAATCGCACAGGGGAAGAGTCGGTCCTCGATTGCGTGTTTAAACATATGCATATTGTTGAGTGAGAGAAAGCCTGAAAATAAAGCAGACTTACTAAAAGAGATCGGCGACCTTTCTGGTTCAGTTTTTACCCAAATTATCCTGTCTTCTATTCGTCGACTCTCCTTCACGGCCAAAACGTCACTGAAAGAAATTAAACGCATTTGAGTTCTGTTGAATTTCAAAAAGGCATGCAAGATGCAAGTTTAGATCTGAAAGGAAGGACTAACGTGCAAAAAGCTAGCAAGCCGAAGTAAGAAAGGAAGCAGGTAAGTAGGTATATAGGCGGTTCTACAGTTTGACAACCACATCTAGGTGGGTGGACAGGCAGGCTGACCGTGAGAGACATGAGACATGAGGCAGACAGACATGCATATCAAGGAAGGCAGACAGACAGACAGTAAGGAAAGCAGTCATGCCTGCAAATGTATACAATCATGTAACTAAAATGCAAGGGGAAAGNATGCATATCAAGGAAGGCAGACAGACAGACAGTAAGGAAAGCAGTCATGCCTGCAAATGTATACAATCATGTAACTAAAATGCAAGGGGAAAGGAATCAATAAGATAAGGCGCAATATTTTAATAACCCAAGCGACTGAATTGATAACGATCAAGAGTGATTGAGAAAACGTGACGAATAAGTGAATTTACATTTGTATGATCAAATGGTTCAGACCTCCTTCCGAGATCCAAGTCCTCTGCTAGCTTTAGCCCAAGTACAGTGGGAAACAAACTCTTCTGTATTCCAAGACTGGAGTCCAAGTAATCGTCAAGACTCGACAGACCAGACGCTCTCCACAACATGGTGGATGTGAACAATTGGGACTGACCTGGCCTGCAAAGGAGGAAGCCTATATCACAACACGAAATTGGCAATATGAATGGTGTTGTAAAGACAAATAAAGTGTGAAAGACGGAAAAGATTTCCTTTCTCCTTGGCGAAAACTGTTTAGTTTAAGCAGAAGAAAAGCGCCAAATTTCAAATTTCCTGTTTGACTCAAAGCGATCTCCAGAGTTCCTAGATCGTTTTACATACTGAAAGCAGTTGCAGATTTATGGAAGAAAGACATTCTTTTACCATTAATCAACAGTTGTTTTCCATATTACCGTTTGCTAGATCACAAGAAAAGCCGAGAAGACTCCAAAGTCTGAAGCATGATCAATCAGTTAATAATATTCGTTGTAAGATACTTATGAAGCTGCTTTGAAGAGAACGAAGGACGACCCTACTTTGGCATGCATATGACGAATTTGTTAGTCTCTTGAAGCCTCGTTACTCTCAATTAGCGCACAAATTTAAGAAATCGTGTTGATGCGTATTTAAGTAAGGCACGACTTACTCTTTAAGTCGTCTGCCACAACACACTAGAATGTTCAATAGTCCAATGTGGTCGCTAAGGTTACTCGTGTCAATAAAATCAAAGAGCGCGTCCTTTGTTAATCCATTGCGACAGAGCTCGAGAGCATCTCCACTCCATAATGTCACCTGAAAGATTGAATAGCCTTAACAAATGAAGTTGAAAATTATAAGAGTTGAAAACGAAGGACTTTCTATTTCTGGGGTAAGATTTAATACACGAGGCAAGATAAATGTCCATTGTTTTTGTGCTTCTGTCAAAACATCTGTCAGAATCATGCGTCTTCAGTTTGAGGGAAATATAATTTAATGTAAATGTAACAACAGAGTTATTCAGAGCTATTTGTGGTCAACGTTTCGAAATGAAAACTTAATTATTTTGACTCTCACCGCACCGAATTGCACGGTCATTGCAGACGAATCAATTCAGTCATTTCAGTTGGCTAAAACGTAAAACAAGAACAATGTTACCATAACAACGATATCACCGTGAAAAATGTATTTCGAATTTGTATTAACTGATGTGTTTCATCTTCATTCAGTGGCTACAAGTAACATCTGGAGGCTATTTCTTTTGTCAAGAAACTCATGGTCTCTATTACCATAAATTAATTAAACCATGACTTAAGGTGGTTCAAAACAGTTTCCAGCGGTTAGATTTTGATGGGACCTTACAACCACTCTTTATCACTTGATGCTTCAATCATGGTATCAAAAAACTGTCCCATCATTGGTGAACACGTTGTACAGAATTTTTTTAAACTTTGCCAAAAGTTGCGTCTTATCGAGCTTACTAAAATTTGATAATGTAAAAAAAAAAAATTTCACTGTGCAGTTTTTGAATTGTAAGCCCCTAAAG